CCGACCTGAGAGAGGGGTAACGAGAACTTATTATGGATAAGCCCTCTCCACGTCACGAAGAGTACTACGGCAAATTAGCTTATAGAATCAGACATAATTCTGATTGCTGATATTATGTAAATAAAAAAAAAGATAATGGAATATTAATCTGCTGGTCTCATCTATCCACACTTTGACCGTGAAAGACAAAATTCTGCCCTAAAAACATGGATTGTTGACATTTTCCACATGAACTTACACTTTTGCCCATTTGGATACCCTTCTGAGGTCAGCTGATTTACTACTAAGATACAGTTAATTGGGGATTCCCAAAGTATTTTGTCAGTGGATATCTTTCTATGCTAACTTACATCCAGTACACACACACTTGATGGTGTTCCTGTGGTTCTTTTGGATGAGAAATGAGAGTTTGATTTGTGATGTGCAATATTTTTGATGTAAACTATTCATAAAAGTGTAAAGGCTGATGAAATTAAGGTTTTTTAAAATTTTAAATATGCCATAAAATTCTTCTGTTACAATTTCTGTTTGAAACTTACAAAAATAGGATCAACATTATGACGGGTTGTTACGAGAAGCCTCACCCAAACCCCATGGCATCCATGTCAGAGGAGCAGAAGGAGTATGAAGCACTGGAGCTGGTCAAGAAGCTGGATCAACTTGCCAGGTGAGTTTTGTCATTATGAGAATAAACTGAACTTTTGAAGTCATAAGAAAAAATCATGCCATATAATGGAGCCACAGTGTGTTATTTTGTTCTTAATTTCTTTCTAAGGAGGTATTATGATAACTAGTATAAAACCCCATAGGAATTTCAGTCATAAAATTTCAGAAACAAGTGTTATTAAAAATACATTACTTGAAAAGTTCTGGAAAGAGCTGCTTAGATAACGGGATATTAAACATTCATTCATTCATTCATCTGTAATCTGTCAAGACAACAGGTCCACAGTCTCTTCCAAAACAGTTCCTCCACTTGATGCGATCTAGAGCTTTCTCCTTCAAATGAAAATATCCTCTTCTGTCCCCAAGGTCATCCAGCATCTTACGTCTTCTTCCTTGTCTTCTGGTCACTTCTATCCGCCCCTCTATCTTTCCTTCAATAACTTCTTTTAGAAGGCAGTTACCGCATAAGATATGACCAATCCAATTAGCCTTCCATTTTCTTATTTCGTGCAGGATATTCCTCTGCTCACTGACTCTAAATAACACTTCTTCATTTCTCACATAATCGGTCCAACCGATCTTCTCCATCCTTCTCCAACACCACATTTCGAAGCTTTCCAGGTGTTTCTGATCTACTGCCCTAAGGGTCCAAGTTTCAGCCCCATACAAAGCGATGCTCCAAACGTAGCATTTCACTAGTTTCTCAAATTTAAGTCCAGTTTGCTGGTAAAAAGATTCTTCTTCTTGCTAAATGCAGCTTTTGCCATGGCAATCCTAGATTTAATTTCACACGTACACCTTCCATCGTCTGATTAGAAAAAATTATATTCATCAAGCGATGCAACTGTCTGGAGAGAATTTTGTCAGTGAACAGATTTTCATATAATATAATATTGAGGAGTTTCATGAATATTTGTTAACCCTTTCCAGTTTTGGCTGAAGTTGAACAATAACAACAAACACTACGTGAAGACTCTCATATGTACCTGTGTGCGTCTCGAGCTACATTCACGTATAGCTCAATAGCTCACTAAATATTAGAGTGTGAAGTGTTTGGAACAAAGGTCGTAGAGAAAGATGGAATACGTTTATCACCAGTAAACCTTATGGTTGTCATGACAGACAAGTGAGAGTGGTGATGGAGTGTGTAAATTTCCAAAATTGCTGTCCCCCCCCCACTAAAAACATGGCATGTTTCTGATACTATTAAAATCATTACAATGTACCCATACATGATACTTGTGGATATCACAGTTTATGTTATTTTGCTGGTATTAATTATTATTATTTGTTTTTTAAACAGAGATGGTGTTGTACAACCATGCCGAATTGGGGAAGATGGCCGTCCTGAGCCAGTGGGTCAAGTATTGGAGTTAATTGAAGATATTTCTCAACAGCAGCCCAAGCCAACACAAGATGATGATTGAATTTGAACTTGTTTCTCCTCTTTAAGTAATGATATTAACTGTCACACAACTAACATTAAGAAATATTTTTATTTTTTATTTCTGCAGTAACATAGTTAGTTGAAGCACTATGCTACAAGCTGGAAGGTCATGGGTTTGAGTCCCAATGAGGTGGATTTTTTTTCAATTGACCTAATTCTTCCAGCTGCACTATGGCCCTGGGGTCAACTAAGCCTCTAACAGAAATGAGTACCTGGTGGCTAAAGGACAGCCTCACCGCCATCTGTGAGCCAGTTATCTAGAGAAAATGTGTGAGCCTTGATGTCTCACAACCATATGGGCCTTCATGGCCTGTTACGGGGATAGGTTTACCCCCCGCCCCTTTTTTTATACTCATGTTCTCAGAAAATAAAATTAATCCAATCCAATCATTTCTTGCTACTTTATTCACATTTTAACATGTTTTTGTGGTGTAATAGATTTTTGCCTACAGTCTTTGTATAGTTGGTTGGTTTGTGTACATCATGTGATGACCATTTAGAGTTGGAACATGTAGTATACATATTGTCGCGTATCGGGCGTATATCGCGACAAATAAATTCTCGATGTACTCGATGCAGCGAATTTTATTTCACACTCGCTCTTACAATCACCCAAATTACAATCTGACGATTACTGCTATCTGCAGTATCACAAATAGTACACTCCAAATGCCACAATACAACTGACTGGTTGCTGGCTAACTCGACGATAGGTCCAGGACTCGCTGACTGACTCAGTACAACTCTGCGGTAGCCACACTAGAACT